TGTGTGTCTGGTTGAGGGGTTGGATCCCCTGGAACTGGAGTTACAGACAGTTGTAAGCGGCCATGTGCGCAGGTGTTGGGAATTGAATCAGGGTCCTCGTGGAAGAGCAGCCAGTGTAAGTTATCTCTCCAGTCCCTTGTAATAAAAATGTAAAACGCCTTGCTTGAACTGAGAATCTAAACTGTTATAAATAAATATATATGGAACTAAGTAGAAGCCAGACATTCTGGTATACACATGTTAATTCCAGCACTTGGGAGGTGGAGGCTAGGGGATGAGGAGTTCAAAATCATCCTCCATCCTGGGCTACATAATGAGTTCAAGGTTAGCAGCCTGAACAAGATTAGACCCTACCTCAACAACAAAACAAAAGCCAACCAAACAAATAGCCATCCCTCAAAACAAACAACAGCAAAGAGAAAGCCCTCCTTTGCATTGGTATACTAACTACCACATAAAGTAAAGCAGTAATAAAAAGATATCATCCTCATGTATGTCAGACCCCCTTCAAGGCTCAGGGGCCATCGTGGGAAAGTGCAGAAAGATCGTAAGAGCCAAAGGTCACCAAGGACTGGAGTGAAACAGTATCCTCTGGACAAGACAGGACCACTGCTCCCTCAACTCCCAGCAACTGTGGTTGCCTGAACAAGATCAAGCAAGTCAGCATTCTAGTGTGGGGTGGGTAGGGGTTCAGGAAGCCCCACCCTAGCTGTGGGGCTAAGGCTTCTGAGGGAGAGTCAGGATATAGCTCTAATAGGTATATGGGGAGGTGGGTGTGGACTCGGAGAAGTTAAGGGGAGGAGTTAAGGATGAGTATGATTAAAATCATTGTATAAAATTCCCCAATAATTAATAAAATCTTTTTAAAAAATAGATCATTTGAACCAGGTGGTGGCGCACACCTTTAATCCCAGCACTTCGGAGGCAGAGACAGGCAGATCTCCATGAGTTCGAGGCCAGCCTGGCCTACAAATCCAGTGTCAGGAGAGGCTCCAAAGCTTCACAGAGAAATCCTGTCTTGAAAAACAAAACAAAACAACAACAACAAAAAGATCATCCAAAGATTATTTAGGGCTGATTGCACAATAATATTCACCAACAGAAACTTCTGGGTAGAGCCTGATGGGAAAAGCATGAGTGGCTCTGAGGGTAATGAACTGTATAGTAATTAATCTCTTCAGAGTAGTTCACCAGAAAATGTTTCTATTTCCAAAGACAAGTTGTAATGTTGAGATTAGCAAGCTCACAACAGGTGACAGAGGGTGGGAGAAGCCAGTAGATAGCATCTGGATTGGGTTGATCAAAGTCAATGTCACTGCTAGGACGGGAAGACGTCACTTCTAATGAAGTACATTCAGAACACAGCAGAGGGACCACAGAAACGTCACACCACCCACAGTGACACACTGCCTCCAACAAGGCCACAACTCATAGTCCTTCTAGTCCTTTCAAAAGTTCCACTCCCTGGTAACTAAGCATTCAAATATATGAGCCTTTGGGGGTCATTTCTATTCAAATGACACTATAAATTTAAAAATATTTCATGAAATTTTAAAACAATGCTTAAGAACTCCTTCAGAAGGTAAAATTCCTGTTAGCTTATAAATTTCTACCACACTAAACAAAGTTACAAACCAAAGAGTGAAGCTAATTTTCATTTATTTCCTCCCTCGTGAACATCAGGATGCAGAGGAAACAGCCCATACTAGACAGAGTCAGGAAGCCTCTGGTGCTTGCTCTGCTACTCCCAGTGTGGTTCTGACCAAAGCATTTCGTCTTTTTGAGCCTCAGTTTCCTTATTTATAGAATAGAAATAGAAGTACCTACCCTGTGGAACAGAGAACAGCCATGTGTTATACACCCCAATATGTTCTAGAAAGGCCTCCCTGAGTGTCTGTCTGTCTGTCTCTGTCTCTGTCTCTGTCTCTCTGTTTTTCAAGACAGGGTTTCTTTGTGTAGCCCTGGCTGTCCTGGAACTCAGAGATCCACCCGTCTCTGCCTCCTAAGTACTGGGATTAAAGGTGTGCATCGACGCCACCTGACACAGATGTTATTCTTGCCACTGCCCAGCCCCCTGCCCCTGGTGTACCCAGTAAACTTAAAACATAATAAAAATTGGGCTTGGGATGCTGCTAGAGTGCTTGTCTAGCACACATGAAGCCCCAGGCTCCATCCCCAGAAATGCATGAAACCGAGTGTGATGATATATATTTGTAATTGCAGCACTGGTAGAGGCAAGAGAATCAGGGATTCAAGGTCATCTTTAGCTATACTGAAGTTTGAAGCCAACCTGGAATATATGGGACCTTTTCTAAAAAACATATATAAATAAGACCAGGTGTGGTGGTGCAAACCTATAATCCCAGCACTAGGGATGCAAAGGCTAGCCTGGTCTATATAGTGAGGACAGTCAAAGTTACATAGTGAGACCCTATTTCAAGAAAAAAGGAAGGAAGGAAGGAAAGAAGGAAGGAAGGAAGGAAGGAAGGAAGGAAGGAAGGAAGGAAGGAAAAGACAACCTTCTCTTCAAATACATGGGCTAGAAGTCCATTCATTGTTATTTCTGATATTCTTTATTTGTTAATGATAGGGTCTTCTGTATCCCAGACTGGCCTCAAACTTGCTGAGAATGACCTTGAATTCCTGCTCCTCCTGCCTCCAACTCCGTGTGCTGGAGTTGTATACCACCACAATTTTACCCTGTGCTGGAGATGTCCATGGCTCCGTGCATGTTAGGTAAGACTCCACCAACTTAGTCACATCCCTAGCCATATATTCATTTATTTTCCAGAAGCATCTTTTACTGTGATCAATCCTACATAAAATATTTGTGTTCTTGGTTTGTCTTTACAGATTGAAAGAGCCCCATGAAGCACTCAGTGGTAGAGCACTTGCTTAGCAAGCACAAGACTCTAAATTTAATCCTTACGACTGAAGAAGAAAAAAAGCTGCATGAAGTAGACTTTATCTTATCTTACAAACTTGTAATCTGAGGCTCAAAGAACTTAAATGACTTTGAGTCCAAGCTGCACCGCTAATAAATGGTGGAACCTGCATTTGATAATAGGCTTCTCTGACTCCAAAGTCCATTCTCTCCCTTTTAATCACTCTACTGCATTGCTCTCTAATTGAATTCCCACATACAACTATTCATTGGCTCGTCATCACTTTTGTCACTGACATGTCTCTTGAGTAAATTCTTCCCCTCCCTAGTTCACCGCTACCACCTTGTTCAGACACTCAGCTCAGATACTAAGTATATATACATAGGTGTTGTTTCTTCTTAATTACAAATGTATTCATGGACTGTAAGAAAACTCATTGCAATGTCAGGTAGTGGTTGGTGGCTCACCCCTTTAATCTCAGTACTCAGGAGGCAGACCAAGAGACAGGTAGATCTCTGAGTTCGAGGCCAGCCTGGTCTATAGAGTGAGTTCAAATTCAGACAGTAAAAGATCCTTAACTGTGGAGGTTGGAGAAATGGCTCAGTGGTTAAGAGTACCCGCTGTTCTTCCAAAGGACTCAGGTTCAACCCCCAGCACCCACATGGCAGATCACAACTATCTAACTCCAAGATACCCTCACACAGATGTACATGCAGGCAAAATATCAATGGACATAAAATAAAGATAAAAAAATCCTTGCTGGGATCTGGTGGTGCACACCTTTAATCCCAGCACTTGGGAGGCAGAGGCAGGCGCATCTCTGTGAGTTTGAGACCAACCTGGTCTACAGAACGAGTTCCAGGACAGGCTCCAAAGCAATACAGAGAAACCCTGTCTCGAAAAACCAAAAACAACAACAACAACACAAAAAACAAAAAACAAAACCTTAACTGTAACCTCTAAAGACAATCAACATTAATAGCACATTGTATATTCCTCCATTTTTTTTCTAAGTAGACATCCCATACCATACTTTAAAAAAGAAAATCAAGGAATCTGGGTTTTGTGGCACACACTCAATGCAAATACTCTGGAAGCAGAGGCAGGCTGGTCTATGCAAGACAGTCAGGACTATACAGAGAAACACTGTCTCAAAAACAAACAAAAAATAGTAAGCAAACAAACAAAAAATAAAATCAAGGGGTTGAAGAGATGGCTCAGCTGTTAGCAAGATTTGCTACTCTTGCAGAGGACCTAAGGAGGCCAGAAGAGGCAGACAGATCTGAAACTGGAGTTACTCATGATTGTGAGCAGCTATGTAGGTACTAGAAACCAAACCAGGGTCCTCTGAAGGAGCAGCAAGTGCTTTAACTGATGAACCATCTGTCCAGCCCCAGTCACATCATTCTTAAAAATTATATGCAAGTGCATGTCTATGTCTGCCTATGCAGGTGGCTGCACAGACAAGATGTATCAGATTCTCCTATGGATGTAACTAATTTGTTTAGATGTTTCATTAGAAGGATGAATTCTTTACTATGTAACTGTTCTCTGGAATCTAAATTATGTGTCTAACTTACTACTTCACAAGATTCTTAGCGGAGAGACTTAGTGCTACCGACTGTATAGATGCACTGTTATGGTCTTGCCCGTTGTCTACCAATGAGAATGCGGAGCGGGGAGGGGGAAGGAGACAGACAGAAAGAAAGAACAGCTCTGGAACCTAATAATGGGGAGCCCAAGTTAGGGGAAAGCCTTCTTTGTGGCGTTTCCAGCCTCACAGAGGCTTAGACCTTTTTGTTGTTGTTTGTTTTGTTCTTCGAGACAGGGTGTTTTAGTGGCTTTGGAGGCTGACCTGGAACTAGCTCTTGGTCTCGAACTCACAGAAGATCCGCCTGCCTCTGCCTCCTGAGTGCTGGGATTAAAGGCGTGCGCCACCACTGCCCGGCGAACTTTTGCTTTGAACAAGGTGGCGTTAAGGCTGGCCTCGGATTCCCGATCCTCTTTTTAAGGCTGGTATGGCAGGAAGGTACTTAGCAATGCCGGAACTTTTATTTGGAATGAGCTTTGTTTCTTACCGGAGTATTTTTGGCCGTAAACCGTGCCACGCACAAACATGGTTGCCAGGCACCGGAAGTAGCCGGTTATTTTCCTGGATTCCGTTCTTCCGCGGGGCGGAAAAGGCATGTCGGCTTGTGTCCCGACCGTCTCCAGTCCTCTTCCTTTGCAGGACCCCATGAGCAAGCTGTGGCGGCGCGGGAGCACCTCTGGGGCTATGGAAGCCCCCGAGCCAGGTAAGCGTGTGTGGCTCAAACTTAGATGATCTTTGAAAAGGAGTCCTCTCACTCCGCGGAGCCAGGTCAGCTCGCCACAGGTGGGAAGGAACGAGGCGGTGCTGTTGTTATGATAACGGCTAACAACGTGGGAAGAGTGGGACTCGGTAGAGTTGTTGGGATATTCAGATCTTCCCCTGGCACTGTTTGATGGAACACTTCTGACAGGCTCTCCTTCTTCAGGGGAAGCGCTGGAGTTGAGCCTGACAGGTGCTCACAGCCACGGAGTTCACAAGAAAAAACACAAGAAGCACAAAAAGAAACACAAGAAGAAGCATCATCAGGAAGAGGAGGCCGGACAGACACAGGCTCCTGCCAAGCCCCAGCTTAAACTGAAAATCAAGCTGGGTGGACAGGTCCTGGGCACCAAGAGGTAAGGTCTAATATTTAGCTCGGGGGAAATTCAGCAGCAGGTGGGCTGGGCTCTCTGGAAAATAGAGAATGGACATTGGCTTTAGGGTCCAGGCTAAGGCAGCAAGAATCCAAGCAGGTTGGAAAAAGCTGTGTGTGATTCCAGAGCAGGATGGCGCCACTTGTTCACTTTAGAGTAGTGTTCCCTCTCTGCAGTGTTCCTACCTTCACTGTGATCCCTGAGGGGCCGAGATCACCTTCTCCCCTGATGGTTGTGGACAATGAAGAGGAACCTATGGAAGGGGTGCCTCTGGAGCAGTACCGAGCCTGGCTGGGTGAGAAGACCCTTGGAGATGGGGAAACTGGGTTGCTTATCTGTACCCAGCAAAAGGAAGGGGGTTGGTTCTGAGAATTTTCAATGTGCCAGGACCAATTTTGCTATATTAATGTTCTACTTTTCTTTTCCCAACTTTCCTGCCTAGATGAAGACAGTAATCTGTCTCCCTCCCCACTTCGGGACCTGCCAGGGGATCTGGAGGGCCAGGAGGAAGAGGAGGAACAGAGGTGGCTAGATGCCCTGGAGAAGGGAGAGCTGGATGACAATGGAGATCTCAAGAAGGAGATCGATGAGCGGCTGCTTACTGCGAGACAGGTAAGTTAGTTCAGTCTTTATTCACTCAACAAACAGCAGGAGAGCCTGCTGTTTGTTAGGCAATGAGACTATCAGTGGAATAGAGTGATACTCTTGTGCATGCTGAGGGATGATAAATTATTATTTCCTTTTTTGAATTGGGATCTTATTGTTTAGCGCTGACTGACCTGAAACACACAGACGTCTGCTTGCCTTTGCCTCCCAGGTGCTGGGATTAAAGATGTGTGCCATCACACCCAGCTCATAAGTAATTTTTAGAAACTATAGAAAATAGGGATGATGAAATAGAAAATGGCAAGACAGAAACATTAAGATAGTTGTAAGGAATGGTTTGTTGTTGTTTGCTTTTGTGTTAAACATGGTTTTTATTTATTTTTATTTTATGTTTGGCTGCTGTCCATGATGGCCAGAGGCCATCAGAACTCCTGGAACTAGATTTACAGACAGTTGTGAGCTGCCGTGTAGGTGCTGGGAACTAAACCAGTCCTCTGCAGGAGCAGCCAGTGCTCTTCACTGAGTGGTCTTTCCAGCCCAGAATGCCTCTTTGAAGAGGTGATATTTCCAATATCAGAAGAGCTTCTCAAGCAAAGAAGCCAGCTGACATAGGCACAGAAGGAAAATGTGGCTAAGCCACCAGTGGGTCATATGCAGACAAGTGCCATAACTGACTTGAATTTTCAGTAATTATTTTGGCAATTATGTGGAGTGTATCTTAGTGGTGGTAAGGAATTTACGTAGGAACTGCTGTGTAGGCTGTGGTGGGTGGTGCATGTCTGTAATCCCAGAACTGAAAGAGAAGGATGGCTACAAAATTCTGAGCCAGCCAGGAATAATTCTAGAGACCCTGTCTTAATCAGTCAATCGGGAGAGAGCTTGGAATGTGTAGAGTAGGAGATGGAGATGGCTTGAGCCAAGACGTAGTAATAGAATGAAGAAAACCTCACGAAATCCTGGATGTATTTCGGGAGTAGCTCCTTGTTGGGAGATGACTGGAGAAAAAAAGGAATCCAGGGTAATTGAGTTTTTGGTTTGAGCCAAATCCAGCAAAAATCTACACAAGGGTGGCACTTGGGGTCGGCTGGGGATAATACTGATATTTTCCCCTTTAACACTGAGTGAGCATCAGGAGCCCTGGGAGGAGCCAGTGGTATTAAGGATCCCCAAAGATAGGCGTGGTGGCAGGCCTTTAACTTTAATCCCAGCATCTGGGAGGCAGAGGCAGCAGAATCTCTGAGCTCGAGGTTGGCCTGGCCTACATAATGAGTTCCAGGATAGCCAGAGCTATCCTGGCTATCTCACATAGTGAGACCATCTGGAAAAACAAAAACGGCGGAGGGGGGATACAATTCTCTGCCTTCCACGTCCTCTTTCTCATCCCACGACTCGGGGGTGGGGGAGCTGGCCATTCGGTTCTCAGACATCCTCACTGTCTTTCGCCAGCGAGCCCTGCTCCAGAAGGCGCGGAGTCAGCCGTCCCCCATCCTGCCTCTGCCAGTGGCTGGCGGCTGCCCGGCCCCTGCCCTCACGGAAGAGATGCTGCTGAAACGCGAGGAACGGGCGCGGAAGAGGCGGCTGCAGGCGGCAAGGCGGGCCGAGGAGCACAAGAACCAGACAATTGAG